ACGAAAAAAGAACTAAACAAAATGAACACAAAACGATCAGCTTTAAAAAAGGACTCATAACTGGAAAAACCGAATGAAAAAGAATGTTAACAACATATACTTTTTTCACACCCAACCCAGTTCTGCGGAATCCGAATCAACGTTGAGTTTAAGCAAGCGAATGAGCCAATTGGAGTAAAGTGCCATGCAGATTTAAATTTTTCCCACTTTTGACGAATGTAGCTATCGATTTTTTTGCATGCTAGCATGCTAGTTAACATTCATGTCAGTCAGCTGTTGGCTCTCACGCTGGCCAATAGAATCTTCCTGCCTATTTGTGGCAGCCAGCTATTGGCTCTCACTGTGGCCAGTACAAAATGGCCTCAAACTACATGAAAACTGCCGTAGAAGCATGAAAAAATCGATTATTTCCACTATCGATGGGAGTTGGGAAATTCAAAGTCGGTCTTGGCTTTTCCGCTAACTTGGAGCATGTGCATGTAAATTTTGGTGCAAATCCGTCGAAAATTGCGGACGTGCATTCGTTACACACACACACACACACACACACACACACACACACACATCCTGCCTTTTATAGATAGAGATATACAATCCCCACAATTCTCTGGCCATCTTGTTCACCAGATATCATTCCACTTGAATTCTTTTTATTTTATATTAATTTTTATGCCTTACTAACGTTTTATCTATTTTACGATATATAATGTTACTGAAACTTAGATCGTTCTTCTTTTGTCAGGAAAATACAGGGTGTTGATAAAGTCTCTTTACAGTTTAAAAATATATATTACAAAGGCAAATGATGATTTGTTATCTGGACACAGTGCTTAATCACATTGCATTTGTGGATTTAAGGTCTCCTATTGAAGAAAGAGTTACTGTCAAATGAACTCCTAAAAATGGCTACTCCATAATAAAACGCACAATGCGTGCCACGGTTTATTGAAACAAAATCGGATACGCAGACTAAGCGAAACTACAGAACTTCTATTTATGGCGTTATGTTAAAGATATCGTGTATCGAACAAAGATACAGGACATCATTGATCTAAAGGAAAAGATCACTGATGCCATTGCCACCATTGATGTGGTTATCCTACAGCGAACATGGCAAGAAATCGAGTATCGTTTTGATGTGTTTTGTGCCACTAATGGTGACCATATAGAGGTGTATTAAATTAGTTAAAAAATGTTTTTAATGTTTTTTTTTAGTTAAACATTTTTTGTTTTTTGAGAGGCTTATTTAATGATTGTTTGATAAAAAATCAAAGAAAAAGAAACATTTTTGACAAATTTTAAAATGCGCAAACACACACACACACACACACACACACACACACACACACACACACACACATATATATATATATATGAATAAATTATGATCCCTCCTTTAAAGATCATTCTAGCTTAAATGCCGCCCGATTGGGTGGCTTTTAAGCTAGTTAGCAAATAGTTGGTTGTACAAGTCTGAGAAGGTATTTTAGATTTTTATTGTGTTCTTCCTGTATGCATACATCTTGCCTGGACTTAATGAATGTAAATATTGTCAAAAAGTTCGAGTCGCTTTTAAGCTAGTTCATATATATATATATATATATATATATATATATATATATATATATATATATATAAAAACCGTACAGATGCATGCTTTGAGCAATTCTCGGTCTCATCCGCCATCTTTTTTGTTCTTCCTTGCCTTGAAGTCAAAACCCTACAATCACTTGACTGTAACCCATTTGTGTATTAACACCATTCTTGTTTTGTGAACTTTTTATCTTATTTTTTTATTTTGTCTTATTTATTTTGGCTTAGTTTTGTCTTGCCTATATATTGTTGGCGGAGTTTTGTCTTGCCTATATATTGTGGCGGAGCTTAGTTTTGTCTTGTTTTGTCCCTATACATTATTGGCTTAGTTTTGTCTTGCCTATATATTGTTGGCTTAGTTTTGTCTTGCGTATATATTGTTGACTTAGTTTTGTCTTATATTGGCAGTTTTGTCTTATATTGTTGGCTTAGTTTTTGTCTTGCGTATATATTGTTGATTGTTTTGTCTTGCCTTTTATTGGCTTAGTTTTGTCTTGCCTATATATTGTTGGCTTAGTTTTTGTCTTAGTTTATTGTTGACTTAGTTTTGTCTTGCCTATATATTATTGGCTTAGTTTTGTCTTGCCTATATATTGTTGGCTTAGTTTTGTCTTGCCTATATATTGTTGGCTTAGTTTTGTCTTGCCTATACATTATTGGCTTAGTTTTGTCTTGCCTATATATTGTTGGCTTAGTTTTGTCTTGCGTATATATTGTTGACTTAGTTTTGTCTTGCCTATACATTATTGGCTTAGTTTTGTCTTGCCTATATATTGTTGGCTTAGTTTTGTCTTGCGTATATATTGTTGACTTAGTTTTGTCTTGCCTATAGATTATTGGCTTAGTTTTGTCTTGCCTATATATTGTTGGCTTAGTTTTGTCTTGCGTTATATTGTTGACTTAGTTTTGTCTTTATAGTTATTGGCTTAGTTTTGTCTTGCCTATATATTGTTGGCTTAGTTTTGTCTTGCGTATATATTGTTGACTTAGTTTTGTCTTGCCTATACATTATTGGCTTATTTTGTCTTGGTTGGCTTAGTTTTGTCTTGCGTATATATTGTTGACTTAGTTTTGTCTTGCCTATACATTATTGGCTTAGTTTTGTCTTGCCTATATATTGTTGGCTTAGTTTTGTCTTGCGTATATATTGTTGGCTTAGTACTATTTTGCTCGGTTCTCTTATTGTTTATTGCAAATTTTGCGAATGATTCTCGACAATGGCCAATTACACTTAACGCCAAAGTTGTTATAACGCCATCAACAAGAAAGATCATAAAGTTTATAATGACTCTATAATTTTGACTGTATACCCCTTGGATTAATATTCATCAGTGAATTAAGTGCATTGACAAAAAAGAAGAAATTTATAAACGTATTAGTTGTGTAAAATATGTACTCTTCATCGTTTATAAGACTGTGCACTTATTGATGTAAAGTTGTAGATATGTGTGCTAGTGCATATGTTTGGTTAAATTGCTTTCTTCGTGACTAATTATTATATCGAATCTTATGCACAAACACGACTAAGAAATGCAATTTTATCGGTCAACACAATCAACAAACATTGCTTTCAAAGCAGCATTTTATAAGTTGGTTAATTGATTTTGTTCAGCGACATATCAATACCTCTGTGGGTTATTTCATGCCGAAACCGAAATATTTTCTACGTAATCTTATGCTTTCATCGACAGATATTTTCTACATAATTTTATACTTTTAGGGTAAAGGAATATTTTTAGATATATAATTGTAGGTCATAAAATGTATTGTTGGTAATTTTACTATAAAAATGTATTTTTTTTGTGTGTGTGTGTGTTGCATTGAGAGTTATTTTGTATTGTGGGTCATTTTATTATAAAATCGTATTGTTCAATTTTGTTTGGGGTTCACTATTTGCTCGACCAGGCTCGACCCTAACCGATGCTACCACCCCGGATTAGGGTTGGACCTGAGAACAACAATAGTTAAGAGGGGGTTCCACGTTCCTCTGTCGGATGTCATTTATCGTCATACTCAGGACGAAGCGTTTTGCAAAGAGCACGCATAGTTAGTAGAATGCATTATATCAGGAATCATTCATTCTCATAAATTAGATGGAAAATGATGATCATCATCATCAGCAGCAGCAACAGCATCATCAGCAGCCGTAGCAGCAGCAGCCGTAGCAGCAGCAGCCGTAGCAGGAGCAGCCGCAGCAGCAACAGCGTTGTCAGTCTCCTGATTGAGAGTAGTCGGAAGTTCGTTACGCAACTGAGTCTCTAACCAATTCCCTCTGCACTTTTGGTTTCAAAACTAGATAGTAATTAAACCTGGCAGAATCCATCCCTCTTCATGTTCAACCACAGCAAATGCACCCCAACACATACCTTGAATTGTAGCCTTGGTCATGGATACGTGGCCGTTGATTTCGATCGGGGAAGCACTCCAGCCTGAGAAGCTCTCCACCCAGCAAAGCCGTATCATGGCCTCACTGGCTGCATACTATTGAGCCGCGTCTCTTCATTAGGCTAGATAACCGTTGACACTACAAGAAGGTTCATCCGCCCCTTTGACTGCTAGAGGTCTAGCCGCCCTCCTCGCCATGTGGCAGACAGCAGCGATTTATATGCTACCAACAGCGGCAGATAGCAGCGGTCATATCTCTCTCCCCAGATTGTTCTTATTTAATATCTATTTTCTTTCAGAATTTGTTGACTTGGACTCTTGCGCTCACTCTACTCTGCTGTTTAACCCATATCTGGTGGGGAGAAGAGATGTATTCATACCTTTTCCCCAAAACAATGCGAAGGTGTACACAAAAAACTAGGCGGGGATATGAATTCGGTTCGGTGATTTCATTTTCAGCGCTGATAACTGGTAAGTTACTGGGCGCTTCTTATAAAATATTTACCCAACAGACCACGAAACTGAAACGATTTTCCTACGTCGGAAAACCGAAAATCACCTTTAAGCGCTAAATACATTAAAATAAAAGCAAAACTTGCAACTTCTATCTTGCAATTAACCACCTAATGTTTTACAGCTTATCAATATTTTGTAGGTAATTTAAAGCCAGAAAACGTTATTAGTTTTTAAAAAAATTGGAGATAGTAATGACTTACTGATACAAGTTTTACTATTTAACCCATAGCGAGGAGGGGGAAATGGGTAGATTCCTACTTTGCCCAAGGGTATTTACGCGTAAGGGAATATAGTGAACACGACTAGAGCTGTCCGATTTGTAAATCAAAGCTGTTATCTATTACACCACTTTCACATCCAAACTTATAGCACCCTAGTATTCCCAATCGGTCACCCATCTAGGTTCTGACCAGGCTCGACGTTGCTTAACTTTCGGTACTCATACGGTTAACCGGTGTTTCAAGGTGATGTGACCGCAAGCCAATTATAACACACGCACACACAACCTTACAGCACCTGGTATTCCTAAGCGGTCACCCAACTAGGTACTGACCAGGCTCGACGTTGCTTAAGTTCGGTGATTGTCCGAGAGACGGTGTTACGACGTGATATGGCCATAAGCTTGGATAGATAATGATTAACCTTAGACTTGACGAGATCAAGAGTGTAGTACTCGTGGAATTATCCACGCAGGGGCATCTTCCACAAAGTTGACGGTATTGAAATAAAACTTTGGCTCAGTAAATTTAAAAGTCAATTAATAAAGATAAAATTGTTTTCTTTCCTATTTTTTTTTCTCATATTTTTTTTTTCAGATGTACTAACCCCTTGCGTCGTATTGGCTTTATTGCCTTAATCGGGGTGAAATGGTTTGGTAAAAAAAATAAATAAAAAGGAAAAGAAAAAAAAGAAGATATCCCGAAACATGTTCAATAGATTAATTGAGAATAGTCTACTCCTGAAGATGAAATAAAGGGTTCAGTTACTTGAAAGTTTACCGAATCGACAGGTACCTGAAGAAGGCTGGAGAGTGCAGCTACCGTAACGCTGTGAATAGAACAACAAAGATGAAGACATTAATTATTCTCAGGGCGTACTGGATCCAAATCCAGAGCCTTCTCACTCCTGTTGAAAGAACCCGTTTCCGATTGACCATGTCTTCAGGAGTGTAGCCATACTTACGACGCTTGGCCAATTACGGGTTGATGGGGTTATTTAACCCATAGTCGGATGCTTTGAATTCAGAGATTTCCTTCTCCTACTCCTGTTGCCAGCCAAGGCTGTAAGACCCACGTTAGAGAAAAGATGGACTCATACATTTACCAAGGGTATTTTCACGTGTGAATATAACGAACTCGACTGGAATTCGAACACGGCACTCCGATTCCACAGTCCGAGATGCTATCCATGACTTCTTCATGTGCGACTCTAAATAAGGATAAGTCATGTCAGAATTTCAGGCAGAAATTATTTTCTATTCTTTCGGCTTCTTTTACCGTGCGTGTCACGGATTACTATTTTAATCGAAGGCTAAAGCAAATTTTCTCCGGACTGAAGGTCGACTATATTGACCTTCAGTCCGTAAACTCGAGAATAGGCCATACGCATTCATTGACGCCATCGCTGATATCGTATACCGTTATGTTGATATGGCTGGAAATATGTTGTTTAGTAAAAACTTTTAATCCAGTGCTCTCTCGTACTGTAATTCTCATTTTAAAATCAGCTACTTTTAGTTCGTTGAGCGGCTACAGGGGCAGCGCCACATGTTGTTTACAACATTCCGCAGCAGTCAACAGCAGCAGAGTGTTTTGGTAATACGGTCTTTCTCATTTCTTATATATAGCTGCATATTTGTTCGTTAAGGATAGTAAGTATATATTATTTTTTGGTTTTAGTCTTTTTTTTTGCCGTTGTATACTATGAAACGATAAAAAAAAACCTCGTCCGTTAACATTAATGACTGTTTCATTTCTTGTTTTAAGCGTTGTTCGACCTTTGATAATAGATATGGGGAATGAGCTAGTAAGACTATATTTACATAGGTTTTTTTTTAGGGGGTGATTTATGTGCTCAAGTATTGGTCTTGTCCCAAAGATACCAGATTAAGAGGCCGAATTCTAGTTAGAATGGTGTATCCATATTGATTGCTGAAGAAATTACTTATAACCAGAAGTATAGCAAGGTACGGGCTTTTGCCCCCAGGTGCAGATTTGAAGCAGTACAAATTTTTGTTTGCTAAGAAAAGTTCATCTACAGTCTGACCTCTTTAAATTGACATTCCATAGTCTGGCAACATCCATGATCTATATAGTACATTTTTGGAATCAGCTGATATTAGTTTGTTGAGCATCACACTTTGTTTATGTTATGGGAACTTACCCATAATAATAATAATAATAATAATAATAATAATGGACTATTCCAAAATAAATACTGCGCCTCAGGGGAGGCAAAGAAGGAGTCAGTAGTTCAAGTCGAGCCAAGAGTCGAGGCAGTCCGAAACAGAGTCGCGTTCAGACAATTACTGCAAGACATTGGAATAGTGATACTGGTCGAGACTACATTGTTCTCTCTACTAAACCTGATTGCTCATACTAACACTTCTACTTCTCTGTATATATTCTTGTTTGTAATATATCTGTGTTATTCCATACCTGTGTTCGAGTTCTTCTTTATTGGTTCTACCTTGGGCTATCACCGTGGTACAAGGAACCGGACCATAACAGCTTATTAATTTCCGCAGCAGCCAACAGCAGGAGAGTGTTTTGGTGATACGGTCTTTCTCATTTCTTATATATAACTGCCTATTTATCCATTCAGGATAGTAAGTATATATTATTTTTTGGTTTTAGTATTTTTGTTACCTTTTTTTGTATGAAACAATAAAAAAAACCTTGTTTGAAAGCATTAATGATTGTATCATTTCCTGTTTTGATTCTACGTTAGTCACATGGGATGTTTTGTTACCCCAAATTTTGAAAGTATTCGTAACTTCTACTACTCTCCCGACTCAGCGAGGAACAAAAATTGCTCGCAACCGTCGTTTACGCTGGCCTCGGTGCGAGCACCAATCTCTCTCTCTCTGGTGCAATGAGAGGGTTTTTCTCATTTGTGACTCTATCCTTTGACGGAGTCGCCCCTGTGAGCACTCTGCCCAAAGACAGAGGCGCAACTGAGAGATGATAAATAGATGTGTTACAAACTGCCCCGAGGAGTAATTTACACACTGCTGGCAAGACTATATTGCTTTTTTAGGGGTAATTTCTTTCATCCGCCATTTTTGTTGTCCAGCAGTGGTCTGAATCCAAGGGTGTCGGATTACAGAATTCGGATTATATAAATTTATACAGCTGTCTGCTTAGTAAGGTTACTTGATCGCTCGATACATTTACAGATCGATAGAGGCATGTTCTAATTGCCCAGTCACCAGTGAATTGCCTGTCAGTCTGCGTTATCTGCTTCAGCCAAGCAATGGAGGCTATTTTTTTTCTGCCCATTGCTTTTTCCCGCCAATTTGTATCGAATATTTTGTCTTCATTATTTTAGTGCTTCATTTGAGTCTGTTTTTTTTTTTTTTTGCTTGTGATTTCGGATGTATTTTCGAATCTTATCAATTGCGGACTAAGAACCTACAGCCGGGTCATTGTGGTTGCTTGCACCGGTTCTTAAGGATATGCCTTCAGAAAACTGGAACAAAGATTTAGTTGCTACGCGGCCTGGGGATCCATACCAGTGGCTGGTCGGATGGGGCTCGTTATTTACTTCGTAGAAGCCGAGAAGGAAACCTGATGAGAAGTCGTTGAGGAGGAAACATACTTATATTAACGCATACACACACAGTCGCACACCCCATCACCACACACAAACTGAAACACGCTCACATACACAACGACACGCTCTCTCTAATACGAACAGACATACACACACTATCGTCTTTCGTCCCTCTCATGTACGCACACATGCTTACATGTGCACACACGCTTTCCGTCTCTCTCTTACACACACATATATTTCTCTCTCTCTCTCTCTCTCTTACACTCATACACGTACGATTATCTCATATATATATATATATATATATATATATATATATATATCAGGTCATCCCATAAGTTCTGTCCGAATTTTGAATAAAGAAAACAAGTGACCAAATGTTACATTTAATTACAGATTCAATCAACAATGTATTTTCCCTGATTATCTATGACTTCCTTCCATCTATTAACAAGCTTACTAATTCCATTACTGTAAAATTCTTTTGGCTTTGATTCGAAGAACTCACAAATGTCAGTTTTTGCCTATGAAGTTCCCTTCTCAGCTGTGGCTGAGGTCTTTCCCCTTTACCAAAACACTGTCTACGATGTTTAACATTTCGATAAAAGATCCATTTTTCGTCGCCAGTCACAAGTCTATTCAAAAAAGGTGAAACAAGTTGGCGAGAATGGAGAGAAGAGCAGATGTCAACTCGGGATTTGAGGTTGATTTCAGACAATTCATGAGGCACCCATTTTCCAAGTTTAGAAACTTTTCCAAGTTGTTGAAGATGATGATGAACAGTTGTATGGTTTGAACTGAGAACCACTGCCAATTCCTCAACTGATAAAGCAGGATTTTCTTCAAGGGCTGCTTCAAGAAGCTTTTCATCAAACTCAACTGGACATCCGGTTCGATCTTCATCTTCAAGGGTGAAATCTCCACCTCTGAATTTTGCAAACCGTCTTCTGCAAGTTCTTTCATTCACACATTCTTCTCCATAAACTGAGTGAATGTTTCTAGCCGATTCGGCTGATGAGTTTCCTTTCTTGAACTCATAAAGCATTATGAGCCTCAAATGATTCTTGGGTACTTCCATGTTAGCAGGGTTTTAATCAAACAAAACTTAATTTTATTGTTCTCTGAAATAAAATTTGATCAGTTTAAATGCATCTAAACATAAAAATAATGCCCAGCTCCATTAGACATTATAAAATACTCTTTAAATTAGCGTTCATTTTAACAAAAAGTTAAAATTCGGACAGAACTTATGGGATGACCTGATATATACACGATATATATATATATATATATATATATATATATATATATGTGTGTGTGTGTGTGTGTGTATGTTTGTATATATATATATATATGCACAAACATACACACAGACATATATATATATATATATATATATATATATATATATATATATATATACACGCACACAAACATACTATTCCTTCTCTGTCCCACACACACACAAACTATCTGCTCCATTTCTCCTTCTCACGCTCATAAACTCATTTTCTATTTCATTTTCTTTCTCTCCTCCTCTCTCTGTCACTCGCGCACACAGACACATTATTTCTCATGTGTATCATCTATCCACCTCCTATCAACCCACGTACACGGACATGTACTCGTTATCTCCCTTTTCTTCTCTCTCTCTCTCTTCCACGCACACACACAGACACTGTCTCTCGTCTGTTTCCCATATCAACTATCATCTTCCATCAGTAACGCACAGAAACACTTAGAAAAAGATCTCAGTGACTCAATTGACGCCGTCAGAAATGTGGACACGTCATGCTGTACTGCTTGGCATTCGCGCCGGAAGCTGCAGTACGAAAAGTTATTA